TTCAGCACACAAACAAGAGTTCCAGTGAACGAAGACCAAGTATGAACACATAAGGAATTTGCAGAGTAGCTGGAAGTGTTTTTAGCTCAAGAAAATGTGAGGAATGTATTGTGTGTTGTGTCTGTTGCAAACCACATGCCAGCCATTTATAGGAGGATTTGTTGTGTGTTAAATGAGGTGTTAATGGACCTGAACGTTGGACATCAATGACCAGTCCGTTGGGCATTGAATCGTCCATAAACTGTCCATTTAACGCATCATTAAAAGAGAAGAACGCTGGCATTAACTTTCGTAACGGTAGAATTGCGCGACAGAAGACCCCCCAACAGAACACCCCTTCGAGGGGTTCTGCCCGAAGCCAACAGAACACCCCTTCGAGGGGTTCTGTCCGAAGCCAACAGAACACCCCTTCGAGGGTTCTGTCCGGCCAACAGAACACCCCTTCGAGGGGTTCTGTCCGAACTCCGAAGCCAACAGAACACCCCTTCGAGGGGTTCTACGCGACGCCACCAGAACACCATACCGAGGTGTTCTGGTCGAGGCCTTCTGTCCGGAGCACTTCTGGGAAAAAATAAACGTTTCGGGAAGAAAACAAAAATTAACCGTATCTCTTAAGAAATAGATTTTTGGACAGCATTCGTGTCCGCAGGTCGCCCATGAGTCGCGGTGTTTCTTCTCCGTTTCGGGATTTGATCGGCACCCCCTGCGCGTAAGAGAGAGCCTTTACCTTTAGGAATCTTAACTCCTAAAAAGAGGCTTCCCTTTATAAGGGGGTGAAAATCCCTTGAGTTTTCCGGTGTGGGATAAAACACACTAGAAACCCATCATTTTCCCAGTTTTTCCATTTCAACGAGTGAACTTCGAGAATCAATTTCTCATTCACCCGTTATCCGTTTTGAGTATACCACATATCGAATTGTAGCCCTTCACAAGGAAAATCTGAAACCACTTTGACCCGACCCAAATCGAAAGTGGACCCCACTCAAATAATTGTCCCAAAATGACCATTTAATGCAATTTTTAACACATTTTTCCAACAGGTAGCACTGTGAAACAGTTGGAGCAAGAGTTTTCAACACCCAAATCAATTGCATAACTGGTTACATTCTCCTCATAGGCTTCAAAAAGTTTTTTCATTAGATAAAGCTGACTTTAGCATTAGGTATGTGGAATTCCACCTAGTTGGAACATCAAATGCAGTCCATATTTAGCTTCCACCCCAATTAAGTCAGATATGTCCTTAAACTTTTGAAGCCTAGCAGGAGAATTCTTAACATACTTAACTGCTTCGCTAACCATGAATATGGAAGTGTCAGCTTGCTTTAAACCATCTTGAACTTCCAATTAAGAGTCACCCAAGATAAAAGTTTTTTCTTGAAGAAGCCTACAGTTGTATCATTACTACTTGCATTATCAACAGTCACAATAAAGATGTTTTTAGCCCCCAGTCTAATAAGCAGTTCCCAAGAGCTTTACCAATGTACTCCCCTTTATGAGAAGTAACTTGGACAAAGGAAATAATCTTCTTTTGGAGATTCTACTAGTGATCAATGAAATGGTCAGTAATACACATGTAGTTGATCCTTTGTACAGAGGTCAATGTGTCAGTAGTAGTACTTACCCTTATGATGGTCTCCCTAAATACATTTTTCAGATTTATCCTCTCATCTAAGTAGATTTGGTAAATGTCCCTGGCAATGGTCCACCTAGATGGGATCTTAAACCTAGGGCAAGCTATGGACATAAAGGTTCTAAAACCCTGTCTCTCAACATACATAATAGGGAGCTCATCAATTATATGAATTTCTTCAAGAGCTCTTCTAATTGCAGTTTGGTCAAACACCCAAGTCCCTATAACCCCTGCAGGTTCTTCAGAAGGACTAACATCACTGATTGTTTGAGAGGTTAAGATTGCTTGCCTAGTCTCCTTAGCATGTGTGTTGTGAAGACAACTGAGCATGTGGTTTCTAAGAGATGAAGTGCCATGCCTTTTGGACTCAACAATATAATTTTGCACAACAGTCACATTTCCCCTTAACCAGGACTCCCTTCCCATCATAAATCTTCTCAAAGTGTTCCCATATCTTGGATCTGGATTCACCCTTTTCCTCTTTAGCCAAGAAATAACAGATGTATCAGTATCTTGAGTGGTAGTATTATTCTCTACAATGGGAGCTTCCACTGCATGTTTTTGGCTTTGAGGAGACTGAGCAGATACATGAATGGTAACATTATCTTGACCAGACACAAGAATGGTAACATTATCTTGACCATCCATCTATATAAGTAGTTAAGTACACAAGGTAGATTAGACTTCAACAGTTAAACTTCCACATTTAACCTTTTATAATGCAGAATAAGGCTAGGGTTGAGGGTCCAATTATTATTATTTTAGTTTACAAAAATGAAGTCTGGAACAATCAGTAAGCTAATTTACAGAAGATGTTAAACAACTGTCGAACTCTTCCCTACAGACTTAGAAGAATCAATTGACTTTTACTATTCCTTTGACGGTTAGAGTCACACATGTAGCTTCTTTTTTATGCAAGAAGCTTCAATTGTTTACCTTCCACACTTTACCTTTCAGAATACACAACACAACTATGCCTCAGACTTCATGCCTCCATCATCATTCTTATATGCACATATAAACATAAGTCATATACCTTTCTCATATGCATATTGAAACATAAGACAGTGAGGCTCCAATATCATTCACATATACATCTATTCAAACATAAGACATACATCTTTTAGAATTCAGAACAAACTTGAGGATTTATCATCATTCACATATGCATATTCAAACATCACACATACAACTTTCAGAATTCAGAACAACCTTGAGGCTCCATCATTATTCACATATGCATATTCAAACATGAGGCATACAACTTTCAGAATTCGGAACAAGCATGAGGCTCCATCATCATTCACATATGCATATTCAAACATAAGGCATATACATTTCAGAATTTAGAACAAGCCTGAGACTCCTTCATCATTCACATATGCATAGTCAAACATAATGCATACAACTTTCAGAATTTAGAACAAATTCGAGACTCCATCATCATTCACATATGCATATTCAAACATAAGGCAAATAGCTTTTCAGGATTTAGAACAAGTCTGAGGCTCCATCATCATTCACAAATGCATATTCAAACATAAGGCATACAACTTTGGCACACTTATAATACTTAGAGTTCACATTTCAAATACGCACAGTTTAGTACTCAGAATTCAGATATACAATACTTTATCAGTGAGGAATCAGGATTCACATTTCACCAAAAATTAGTAACAACAACAGAGTATCAAGCATGAATACATTAACATCATCATATGTCCATAGTCACTCGTCAAGTGTATAAGGGTATTAAATATGAATTACATCGTCAACATCATCATACTATCAATTTATCAAATATTCAAATACAATCATCATCTATATGAATCAATTCAAATACAATCATCATCTATATGAATCAATTAAATACAATCATCATCTATATCAAATATTCAAATACAATCATCATCTATATTCAACATCATCATTTATTGATCTAGGTCATTTGCTTCCCAAATCCAAAATACAATTACATCATTTATATGAATCAATTAAATCTTACATTAACACTGTAACACATAACAAATTCACAACAAAACCGTAGTTATAAATACCTCAGAGACGATGAGATAGACTACAATTAGGACTTAGGGAGTTAGGGTTAAGAACTTCCACGAAATAGGGTTTCAGACTTCGAACGATCGAAAAATGACTTCCACCAAATAGGGTTTCAGTGTGAGAGCTTCCAATAAATAGGAGTCTTAAGTGGGAGAACTTCAGATTTCAGAACATCACACTAACCAAAACACCAAAAACAATGGTTAGGACTGTGATTGAAGGTCAGAAGGAAATCAAAGACCGAGAGGAGAGTAAGGTGTGAAGAGTGAAGACGGAAGAGAGAGGACAGAGCGAAGAGTCAAACATAGTTCGAAGAGGCGGATATGGTTAGGTTGGTGAGCAGAGGTATAAGTATGTGTGTATGTGTGTATGTGCCCGGGTCCCAAAATGACGTCGTTTAGCATTGGATGGAATTTCAATGAACTGAAACCTAGTCCCCCTTTTTTATTCAAAGTGGCGCCCTTTTAACTGGGATTTAGAATGCATTCTATTTTATGTAATTGTGGTAGTTCGATCGCGTTATTTCTTTATTTCTATCATTTCCGGAATATGAGTGTGTGACTTGTTATAATGGATCCTATTCATAGTCCATAAAATTTGGTTATCTTACTTACTAGAGTATCTGAAACACGAGATCTATTTGAACTATGATTCAGACTTCCTATTAAGACCTCGTGCCCGGGTTCCACACATACACACACACATAATGCTAAACGACGTCGTTTTGGGATTTCGGATATTCGCGCGGATCGGGTTCGGGATTTATAAACCCTACCCGCCACCGGGTACCCGCCCATAGCTGTCCAAATTTTAGGATATGGGTTATCGGTTTAGATATCCATATCCAATCGGATATTATCTAGGGAAAAAATCGGATATATCGGGTCAGATCGAGTTTTGCTCAGCCCTACCACCGTCGACTCAGTGGCAGATCTCTTCAATGCAAGTGTGTTCATGCGAACACACAAACATATAAAAACAACGAGAATATATATGTCTAAATTAGAGTAATAATTTATTTATTACTACGTATTATTTTAAGGGGAAAACGTGTAATTTTGAACATCCAAAATATAAATTCTAGGTCCGCTACTCACTGTCGTTCACATATGTATGTGTGAACGTTTAGTCAGTGTATATGCTACATAATCTTCTACGAGTGATTTTAAAAAGGGTAATGACTGTATGCATGGCAACACTTTAAATGTACAAGAATAAGATATTGAATATCGCACCAAAACCCTCATGTTAATTTATTTACGGGTGACATATTCATTTTATTCCATTTTATGAGTGTTGCTCATGCAAAGAATGTAAAATTTTAGACATGTTTATAACATTTAATACAAAATGTACAAATAAAACTATCACAAAAATCAGAAATAAAAATAAAATTTAGTCAAGGATTATTATGTTTATTGAATTATAAAAATCTAAAAAACAAGAGAAGAACATAATACTATTTCACATATCTTTCTTGTTACATTTAGAAAGTGTGTACGCTTTCACAAGTTATGGGAATGAAGACAAATAGGAAGACCTTCAACAGGAGTGGGCATGGGATCATATTGCACTTTCTCATCTGGCACAAGTAAGCTCCACCTAAATCTCGTAATGAGATTGTGTAAAAAAATTAGTATCTCCAACCGAGCAAACTCTTTACCAATGCACATCCGCGGCCCTCCTCCAAAGGGGATATATGTGTAAGGCGGGTGGCCTCCTTCGAATCTCAATGGGTCAAAATTCATCGGGTCTTGGAAAAAACTCTTATCGAGATGTGTATTCGGAGCATCCCAATAAAACTGTAAAAATTCAAAATTATAGGTTGAACTACATTTGAATGATGATTATATTATTGCTCTTACTATTACTACTCCTTTTGCCACTACAAAAAAATATCAAGAAAATAAAAGTTATGTGGAAAAACAAGATGACTAATAATAAGGGATTAATAAGTACTCCCTCCATCCCATTAGAAGGTTTCCACTTTCCTTTTTTGGATGTCCCACATAAAGGTTCTCATTTCCATTTTATGAAACAATTAACAATCTGAAGTGACAAATTAATCATTAAATATTAAAAATAATGCATTTATAACATCACAGTTATCAATACTAACTACATTATATGATTATAATATATACCTATTAAAATTATTTCTCAAAATATACTCGAAGTACTTTATTTAATTATTGTCTAAATAACTGTGTCGTTTTGCTAAAGGAACCTTCCAACGGGACGGTGGTAGTACTACTTATTAGGAAAATTGCCCTAGATAGGACTAAAAACGCTTGTGTATTTCATAGTAGGACTATCATTTTTTTCAAAAATAAGAGTAATTATTGCCATGTTTTGGCAGTACCAGACTTTAAACGTGACAATATTTTCAAAGCTTGGCAGTAATAATTCTTATTTAGGGAATAAAAATATGAGAGTCCTATTTTAGAATACGCAAACGCTTTTACTCATATTTTGGGAATTTTCCCTTATTACTCCACCATCCCTTGTAACTTGTCATTTGTATCCGGCACGAAGAATAATAAAGTAAAAACTGTGTGGTTGAGATTTGTGTAGGAGGAGAGGGAAATAGTAAGAACTAAAAGAAAAAGTGACATATTTTTTGGGACAACTAAAAAAGGAAAGATAGACAAAATTAGTAGGGACGGAGGGAGTATTGTTTCTATGTGTGCTTGTAGGGATGATATTCATATTCAATTCGTCGGATGCTTGTAGTGTATCTCTCTGGTTAAATTATTCATTGGGTAACCCACAAAAAGTCAGAAATATCTACTATATTTTCACGAATAACAGCAGTCACAATCCTAGATATACTCGCCCGTCGCCCCACACTACTACCCTGTTTCTTGTCAATAATGTAACAAATGTTATACAATCCACAACGGCTACATATAAAAATGCAAACCAACATATACTCAGTAAAATATTGTACTACTTCTCCTATTAGGTTAATCATTTAGCACGGAATTTCAATCCCAATGACAAATAACATGTAAGGTTGTACTGTCTTTTTTTATAATTCTATTAACTATTAAATTCTATTAAAAAAAGGTTGTGCCATTAAGGCATTAACTATTAAATTTTTATTATCTATTGTTTAATAATATTATATGTGTGTATAGAGAGATTGAATCTACCACTCCATCCTACTAAAATTATCTCATCTTTCTTTTTTGGTAAAATTTGTGTGGTTCTAAATAATTCTTACTTTTTGCTTACTTTATAAATTCAATATCAATTATACAAACTCACTTTTCTTAATAATTGCACCACTTCTTCATGTATCAATGTTAGTGGGACATAGATACTAGTACACAACCATCTTTACAATTTATAGACACATATATTAGAAATAGTTGTTCTCTCACATAATTTTGAAGTTCATAAATTTATTTTAATGATACTTAAGTGAATATGTACTTTGATGATAATAAATGTACTGTAATTTTGTAGTATACTTAAGTAAGTGATTACTTTATATTTGGTTGATAACTTGATAATGGGGCGGTTACTCTATAGAGAAACAAGACGTGCATAATTGCAGGAAGGAAAATTATCATTGACCGAGTTGAGGTTTAATTTATAATCATTTACACGTCTACAACATAAAAATATACTCTTATCCCTCTTCCTATCCTTTAATGACGGCTAAATCGCTTAATTTATATTTAGAGAAAATCATAGATACAGTTCTACAATTTGTTATTGTGTTCGCGTTTAATGTTGTACTTTTATTCTATCACAAATCTGATCAGATAATTAATAAATTTGTTCATATTAAAAACTCTTCCTCCGGAAATCAAATTTAATAAAACAAAAGACAATAAGAAATGACCACACTCTAGATAGTTCGGTTTATTTCTTTCGGTTTGAAAAATGACTGAATTGAAAAAAGTTGACCAAATCATGATAAAAATAGAACCCTCTAACATCTCTAATTTTCATTTTAGACACTCTTTCTTCACAAAACAAGATCATTATACGTATAACAATAACGTGTCAAATAATATTTGACAAAATATGATCACGTTTACATGTGAATTAGTGGTAGACACTGACCTAGAAAAAATAATATTCCTGTTTTGGGTCGGTTCCGGACCCAGACTGGTTGATGCTAAAAAATTACGGAAGCCCGAGACCTATATTTCTTGCCCCGGTCTCCCATCCAATTCAGACATGTTCTCGATTTTTATTTATTTTTATATATTTTTAAATCCTATGTCTCTCTCCCCACTTCTTTTTCAACTTTTAAATGAACCTTCATCTGTTTTAAAATAATGCCCACAATGATTTCAATGCAAAACAAAAAAAACAAAGAAATCAACAGGTCCGGGATCGGGATCGACGGGTCCCTGATCCAAAAAGGGAGGCTCGAGACCTTTTTTCAGCCAGTCCGGTCTCAGTCTTGGCCTAAAACCTAATTTTCCGGTCCCTACACCTTATCCGTTGATAATGTAAATCATAAAAGTTAGTATTTCCCAAACAAATTTAAATCAGGTACAATAGCAAACCCCAAAAAATAATTTTTTTATCTAAAATATAGTTTAGAGTTAGATTCAATTAATTTCGTTTGGCTTCTCTCAATTTTGGTCAATGTTAGCATGACTTGGTCGGCATTTTTCAATTAAGTTATTTTTCAAATCCAAAGGCATAAAGGGAACTATCTAGAGCAAGGTAATTTTTTGATTTTATTAGGTTCAATTTCCGGTGAAAGAGACTTTATCAGATCTATATCTATAATTTTCTTGATAAATTTATTAATTATCAAATCACATATGTGATTGAAAATTATTCTGTCATTAAAAGAGGACATGACAAAAAATTACGAAACTATATCTACAATTTTCTCTAAACATAAATTAAAAGTTACTTAACTATCATTAAAAGATATGAGGTAAGAGTACATTTTTATAATGCGGGAGTGGGAGTGATAATACATCAAATCTCAAAGGAAGTCAATGATAATTGCTGTAGAGGAATAATCATCCCCAACCGTGTGTTGCCATCTATACATATCCATCTAACAAGACAAAATCGATATTATCTTCAATATTTCCCCCATTAAATATAGTATAAACACATAACAAATGGTGATAATAAGACTATTAGGTTATGTTGGGATCCCTCCTTAATTGGAGAGGTTCTAGAAAATTCTATAGCTTTATAGAGAAGTATAGAATTTTCCAGAACGTTCCGGAGAATCCTAGAGAAGTCTAGAACTTTCTTGAAGATTAGAGAATAGTGTGGAGTCCTCTGGAATATTCTGGAGATGTGTGAAACCTTCCATAAGCTTATGGAAAAATATGGAAGGATATAGAAGGGAGTAGAAGAGTATAGAGACTCTTAGCCAAGAGTGGAGAAGTATAAATAGGGGTAGAAGGCTTCATTCCTTACCATCCTAGCCAAGAGTGAATCTACTTCTTAGAGTGAGAAAGTTAGAGAGTCTTTTTGAGAGAGAAGAGAGATAGCTTGAGAAGTTCTTATCCTCAAACTTGAATGAGCCACCATTGAGTGAGTCAGTTTTGTAAACACATTCTTGTAATCTTACTATTCTTTTGTTTAGTGGAAGAATCTCCGAATTAGAGAATTATACTCGTGTGCTCCCATTGCTACCTTAGTTCTTAAGTGTCTATCTTAACTATAAGAAGCGGGAAAATCCGAGTTTTCCCCAACATAAATTGACACCATTTGAATGTTTGACAATTTGATAATAACTATTACACCAAAATGTTGTGTGTGCGCACATTGCAGTTTTAAAGAAAATGATGCTCTTCGTGGTAAATATGAAGTCACAAAAACGGGTGCACCTTTTATTCACAACAAAGCTCATTTGTGTTTTGAAAAAACATTGTCTACGATTACAATAAAGTTCATTTGATTCACAAAAATAACACATTTTTGGCGTCTTTTGCACTGTTAAATCTAAAATATAATACCCTATATAAATATATTGAAAATTATTACCTTCCAGCCTTTGGGAATGTCATAACCTTCATAGGTGATGTCCTCAAGTGCTTCTCTGAAAGTTCCAGGGACAGGAGGATATAGCCTCATAACTTCAGAAACAACATTCCATGAATACTTCATCTTTTGTATGTCATTCCAATTAAGAAACTGTCCAGCTTCTTTTGATGATGCAATCTCTATTTGCTCTGCTTACCCGAAAAAAGACATTTAAAATAAATGCATTTCTCATTATTTTTCAATTGTCATTATGAAGGTTGCGTCAAGAAAAATAAAACACTGTCAAGAGCTATTGTACTATTTAAAAGCCGCCATTGCCTAATAAAATGGGCAGATCAACGCCTTCTGACTTTACATATCTCGTTAGAGGAGACTAGTTTTCTGATGTGCATGTTGTTGGGTTGCGGGGATGCGGTGCCAGCAATTCTGCGAGCTTGTTTGTGCAATCGATCGTGGCACTCTGCCCCTTCTATAAGGGGGAGAACGTGCTACATTATCACTGATTGCTTTTAGTATAGCGGTAAACGCAACGATCCACACATGCTCTTTATAATTCTTAATCAGACAGAGATTCTAATTAAACTCTTATGAGCTTAAGGTTCTATATAAGAAAAGTAGTTCAAAATCATACGGCTTAAGAGATGCTTTGGTGTAATATGTATAAAAAGGATAAGAAATTGTGTGAGTTCATACCTTGAAGGACCTTTTCATAAACATGAGGCAACTCCCCAAGCTTCTTTACAAGCAGGGTGATAGTTACACTGGAAGTGTCATGGCCAGCAAACAAAAGCACAAGTATATTGTTCACTATATGCAAGTCAGACATGAAGTTCCCATCATCGTCCGGTGTGAGAAGCAAATGTGAGAGAAGATCATTGGCGGTTGAAGTTCCGTTCTGCCTCATCATTTCTCTTCTCTCTTTTAAAATCGCAAGAAGCTCTTCCTTGATAAGAGCACTGGCTCTTGTTGCATAGTAAAATCTCGTCCCCGGGACCTTAAGAGGCAGTGATATGACTCCCTTGAGCACAATGTGGAATAGGACCGAAAGCTTGTTTATCTGGTTTGGATCTTCAACACTCATAAAGAAGCGGCAAGCTAGTTCGAAAGTATACAACTTCACAACATGGAACACTTTCACTGTCTCATCACCTTAACACACACCAAAGATTCTATTTTCAATATATTTATTCTAGCATATTAAGTAGTCAAGTTCTCTACTTCTCAATCCTGTAATGTAGTAATAGAATAATGTAGGAATTTATAATAAAAGGACTTAGAGTTGAGTTAACTCATGGATGGTATCAATTTTTCAACTAGTTGGTCCAAGTTCTTTATAGTTCAATTTATGAGTCGTAATCCAATTGTTCAATATTCAAGAACTCTACTCTAACAACATTATTTCTCAAGATATTTGCTCGAAATTAGTTTAGAAAAGGAAATTAAATGTCACAATCATTTTTCATAATTTAATCCCATTACTTATGGTCAAGACAAGGGCACAAGGTTAGAGATGAAAGCAATTAGGGAATACTTGACATCAGGAGATCAATCCTATTTCATATTTTACGTTTACCTTGTTACGAAGATCGTACTAATAGTAGATTTTAGTTGAAGTGTTAAAAGGTAGGTTTTAATTTATCAATAAAAATTGTTTTGAGGTTTTGATAACTTAGAATTTCGAACTTTGGTCACCAAAGTTATGTAAATTATTAAGGGGATTGAAGTGGTAAAAAACCAAAGTTAAATGATCTTTTATTGTTTGTCCCCCTCTTTTATAGAAATGTTCTTAACGCCAATATAGAGTGTTGATTCAAGTTAGTCGATCCAAATCTCTTTCCAGAATATGGTTTTGGATATAATTTAAGTGAGTAATTTGAGTGATTTATATGTTGAAATTGTACCATATGTAAAAAGGAGCAAAGAAGGGGGAAATGTCATACTTGTCATTCGCTCTTCTATTTCAATTAGAGCACCCGTAATTATTGTCAAGTTCTTAATTTATAACACTTGTTACTTAGCCACATCATTAATGGACAATTATAACTTACTGGTACTTAACAAAAGTACTACAGAGTAGTAAATTAGTGATGTTATAGAAAGGGAATTAGAATTTATCCTTATCAGTTATCACACAAAAATCCTCCAAAAGCTTGTGTGAATCTAGCAAGTACAATATATATAATATCTGAGATTAGCTTAAAAAGATTAATAATATTATTCATATCATTAAAAGTGCGTCTTCTTTTAAGGTGCTCGTTTTCTAAGAACTTTGCAGTTAAACGTGCTTGTACGCAAGGGCAGCCCTAGGTTGCAGGGGATGGGGGCCGTAGGCCCAAGAAAATGTGAAAAAATTAGGGCCAGGTTTAGTTCTTTATAATATGTGTTGTAGGCTGAATTTTCAGGCCTAAATTAATAACTTTTGAGGTCAAATTGTTTAAGATGCTTCCGGATGGATTTTTTTGATGCAAATTTATGAACATGTTTTCTATGAACTTTAGATTATGCCCACAAAAATTCAGTTTAAAATTCATTCTAGAATCAGTTAAATAAATGATTGAAAATCACTACGCTTTTTATGCGTATTTTGGCGCAGTATTTTCCAATAATTTATTTAACTTACTTCTTAATTGAATTATAAGTTAAAAATTTCGTGGGCATAATTTACACTTGATGAAAAACATGGTCACGAATTTTCATAAAACACCACTTGGAAGCAGATTAATCTGATATGATTATTTAATTGACTTATTAATTGATTTCAGTAATAGTTGATTGTTTGATTTCTTAATTGTTGATTATCATCTATTGAGTGATGGTGTTATAACTGGTTGATTTTGTTAGACAAAAAATTCAATTGTAATTAAATTCATAATTTTAATCAATTTCAAGATGTAATAAAAATGATTAAGTCTAGATAGGATAAAGAAAAAAATGAGAAGATTAGAGAAAGCGGAAGTACGACACTAAGTAAAAAATGTTCAATGGTAAAATTTGTTTGTGTAAAGAAAATCAAAATCTGGATGTCCTCCTCAAGATGAGAACTCGGAGAAGAACAATAGTTTAGCTACCAAAAATGAGTTGATTCCTTAAATAGGACTAAAGTATTGGCAAAACGCACAAATATGACCACTATTAATTCCTTCGTAAATAAGGACCACCAATTTTATAATATTATTGGTTTAAACATAAGAAGGTTTTACAATTTTCTTATAAATGTCTTGAAATACTTAGTTTTATTTTATTATTATGCATGTTAGTTTGGACAATAAAGAGTTTTACAATTTTGTTTTAAATTAGACCCATTTTAACCCCCCCCCCCCCCCCCTCGGCCTTCAAACATAACAGACCGGCCCTGCTTGTACGAGATACTCTTAGGATGGGTTACCCTATGACGTTTCTTAGGGAGCGCATGAGTGAGGACAAAGTGTGTACTAATGACTCGTGTTAATGCGGACATGACTAGGTTTGGAGAGCATCCGGGAGTAACGACCTTGGACCTTGTGGATTCGGGTTGTTACAAGTGGTAATACAGCAACTCTGTGATAGTTTGTTGATCCAATAAATATGGTACATACGAGCACTTAGCAGAAAAAGGATTTTAGGGCTTTTTAGATTTGTTTACGGGCGCAACGAAGACGTTGTGTTCCTAAGTGAGCGTGATTGTAAATTTGTAATGTCTAAGATTACCTTAAAAATATTAATAGACTACTCATACCAAGAGAAGTGCACCTACTTTTAAGGAGTTCATCTAGTAAGAACTCTACAATTAAACGTGCTTGTACGTGAGTATTTTTAGGATGAGTTACCCTGAAAAATTTGTTACGAGTGAGGACAATGTGTGATGGTTTATTATGCATATCTAATAAATTGAATAAACAATTTATAACAATTCAACCCTGCAAACAGGTTAACTCTTCATCATAAAGTTAAATCGATCTTTTTATATACATTTACAAAATCATCACAGGTTAAATGTGTTAATTACTGCCAAATAATTTTCAATGTTTTTCACCCTTTCTTCTTCTTTTTCGGATACTAAATTGGTGTACAAAAATTAGTAATTATTAATTAATTAATTTCTATATACCAAGCCAAACTTCCATTGCTTGATTGATGGAGAGTTTGAAAAATACTCAAATTCTACATTTTCATACACAGTTTAATTACTAGAAAAATATGTGGTGTACACCTTTGGTGTACACCTTTTGTGTACACACGTCTGTCCCCAGCAGACGAGTTGTCTGTCCACAGACAATTCGTCTGTTGGGGACAGACGTGTGTACACAAAAGGTGTACACCAAGCAAAGTTGTAATTACTAAAGCACAGTTTTCTTTCATTTGATACTCAAATTAAAGCATCAAGGAGTAACGACACATCGACATTGGCTCTTGCGGCATCGGGTGTTGCAGTATATATATCATGTCGGTCTATGTGTGTCACTTCAATTTTTATCACTTAAAATAGTATACTACGTGTAAATTCAGCTCCATCAATAAATCAAACTTTCTACTGATTTATACGTATTCATTCAGTTAATTCAGTTTGTACTGCAATCCAGCATCGTCATTTTTTTGCCAAATATTTTTTGTTGAATAATTATAATTTTAAAAGTCAAACATTCTGATGCAAAAATAAATAAATTTGGAGTCTAATTTTGTTGTTGTTAATTTAGAACTATTTTTGCAAGAAATAACTGAAAGATGTAAAAAAGTATTTTAATCATAAGATCTTAATTAACCAGAAACCGGCAGACGCTCTTTCTCTCTCTAAGAGAGAAACCATAGCATAGGAGCGGCCATCTCCCCTAGATTTAGGGGTTGTTTTCTCCGCTTTCGTCTTTGACGAAGTGCGGTTTTCTTCCGCCATTCGTGAGGTTTCTTCTTCGGCAGGCCACACCGCCTATATGGCTGTCAAAGGTTGTGCACCCCTGACAAATAGGTGGAGAGTTTCGAGGATGTCGTTCATGGTTGATCTCAAAAGGTAATGGACGAAGCGTGAAGCTAGGGGCTGGAACAGATTTGGATTCGAGGGCATCCGTGTTAGGTGGCGAAAAAGGATGCTTGGTAGAGATCATGATGAATAAGAGACAAAGAGAGGAAGAAGCTACAGTATGCTGGACCGTCCCCCTCCTGAACCGTCGCCATGGAGTGCAGGAGAGTCTAGGGTTTAGAAGAAGCATTTTAATTTTACCGTTTGCTTGATATTTATTTTTCATGATCAAAATGTTTATTTTTCTATTGGTTACTTTTATTGTTGTAAGACTCTTGCATTAGGATTGGGTGATGGGAGGTCTGCTTTAACCGTCGTTGGCTCATTTAGGCCCATTATAGGATCAACGAGTCATATTGCTTTTTTGAAGGTGATTGATTCTAAGTCTGGTTGGAGGGCTGACGGTTTCTTGTGGTCCTTTTGTCGTTTTACCCCATATGTGAATGTTGTGATATCAATTTAAGCCCCCTTCTTCCAAAAAAATTCATAAGATCTTAATTTTAACACTTAAATTTATTTAACAAAAATTCTGAACATAAAAATCTCCACCAGATGAAACTTATTTTTTTTTATTTTTTTTATATGTACTATTGGTGTCATATGAGAGGTAATACAAATTAAGAATTTTGGTATAATTTTTATAAAAATTGAAGTATAAATAAAAAAGTTATAACACATTAAAGAAATCTGAGATTTTTAATAGGAATTTTTACTTGAATATTACTAAAATAAAGCCAATTTCCAAAAATGTGATCATTTTTACAAAAGGACAAAAGTGTGACTAAGAAGGTCATAAAATTGGGAAAATATTATGTCACTGTCGAATTTTTATGTCACTGCTAGATTTTTGTAACCGTCATATGTCATCATCATGTTTTTATGTCACTTTTGAATGTCACAATCAGTTATTGTGTCATTTACGAATGTCACTGCCATTTATTATGTCACTTTCGGCATTCACTACGTGTAACGTGTCACTATGACGCTGGAAAATTTTTCGGAAACTTTTTCCGCTGAAAATGAGATAGAACCCCCACCATAGTTTCCGCTCCAGAAACCGCCGCCATGCCACCACCGCGACAGCCACCCTCCCCAAGACCCCAACCCCAACCATGTCCGGCTAATCGTGACAACAAAAAACACCAATACATCCCCACAACCTACTGCCGCCGTCGCACCAATCTGTCACTGCTGTAACATTCCGCCCGACAGCATCTGGCCCACCTGGCTTACCGCCGCCGTCGATAGCTCGTAGCCTAACCTCCTCAGCCCCCAAACCGCCCTCTCCAGCCCCTGGCCCAAATCTTGTCCAAAGCCACTGCAATACCCCCAACCCTAGCCGTTCCAATTACTGGATCCGGATCTGGATCAACCGTCGGTGATGCTCCTCGCCGCCGGAGTGTAGCACGACATCTCTTAGAAACTATAACTATCACAGATCTGAACATTGACGATGACAACAGAAACGATCTGTCTACTCCATCCACGAAAGGAGATGACGACGGCCAAGGAGATGATGACAACTAGGGCATCGACCGGATCTGGAAAGGACGGCAAAGAACAGGGCGGCGACGGTGATTCTTCTGCTCTGTCCGCGGAGGGCAATGGCGAGGAAGAGACGGTCCGATTGCTCTGTCCGTAGAGGAGCTCCATGTCTTTGCGTCGCTGTATTGCTCCATCCTCAGGAGGAGTTCCATGTCATTGAGTGCACCAATAAGGAAACGAGAGGCCACTGAGCAAGATATTGAGCACACGAAGAAAGAATTAAAACGGAAGGCTTGAGTGAGATGTTTTAGCTTTGGTTAGTTTTTTGTCAAATACTGCCTCCATCCTTGATAACTTTGCCTACTTTCCTTTTTTGGTTGTCTCAAAAACTTTGTCACTTTCCCTTTTAATCAATCAATTTGTGGCTCCTGTTATTTCTCTCTCCTCTGCACAAATTTCTACCACACAATTTTTACTTTATTATTCTACGTGTCGGTCAAACATGTCAAACCTTTAAGGGAAAGAGGGAGTAGGAATTTAGTCATTATTTTGTCTCCTAAAAGTTGGGGAGTAATATTTGTGCTATTATTTCTTTTTAATATTCTTGGCCCCACATACTTTTGAATTGTCATGTACGCATAAGGCATTGTTGTGGCTGCATTTCTCTCCGTGAATAAGCCTCCAAATACCCACCGAAGAGGTGCTAGGTACCCACTTTCCAACCCACCGTTCCAAAAGGTGGAATCTCCCACCCCAGGAGCCCCCACACCTCGACCCGATAGAATTTTTGGGAGAATGTAAGTCACGGTGATCCAGTCCAACACGCAGGAACTGTAACCTCCACACGGCCGCTGCGGGTTTTGAACCTTGGTCATTGTTCCGAAATTCCCACCACTGAACCAATTGAGCTACCCGTGCGGGTTCCACTTTTCAACCCACAAATACATGGATCGTAGAATATTTGAGGGTGAAAATCTGAAATTTGGTTTTTCACCCTCCGGTTTGCAACCAGCCTAAAACTAATAAATTTATATTTTAAGGTATTTAAAGTTCACCCAGCCCCACTTTCCCTTTTTATTATCTTTTCCATTTTAACATAAAAGTTTTCTCTCTCTAGAGCAAGCCTTCGCCGCTAGGGCTTTTCTCTGCTATCTGGTATTCCGAGGAGTAGCGCTGAGAGGCGGTAGTCAGGTCAGTGAGCGGAGAAGATTGGCACGAGTCGGCGGCGGCTTGACGATTGCGACTCTACTGCTGAAGCGAGACGTTTGCTCAATCGAGGGTGTTATTGGCTAGTGGAGGTCGGTGGCTGGAGGTCTGTGGTTAGAGTTCAACAACATCTATAGGGTTGATTCTTCGATGGAAGAAATTGTTAACCAATACAAACAGATGGCAATAGGCGAGGACAACGAGGAATTGATCTTCGATGACGACGAAGGGGGAAGGCGGCGGCAGGCAAGGGCAAAGCTTTTTCAACATTAATGTTGTAAGACTTCAATTACTCACCCTCCACCTGAACCACCGCGCTTTGGGAAGAAGAAAACGTTCGACTAGATCTCCTTTATTGTGGTTAGTCAAACCGATGATTCAAAAAAAATCTACTCGATTGAGTTTTCTTTGTTGGTAGCTAGTCAAATCAATTATTCTTTTTTGTTGGCTAGGGAAGTCGAGATTCTTGATTTATTTGTTTTCTTTCTAGTTTGGACGATTTATTTTCTTTTAATTGCCTGTTGAGTAGCAAGTTCAATAGTACCATTAGATTAGTCTACATAGTTGCGAAATTAGCGAATTTGTTTGGTCTTTGGAGGCCATCCGATTCTACGTCCCATGATCGTGTAGGCTTGAGTTATTGTATTGTTTTATCTCTTGTTACTTTTATCATTAATATATTATTTTAAATTGATATGTTATATTGAGATGAATGGAGTATTGTCTTTGTTTCAAGTGAAATTTATCTAGATTGAGAAAAATATGTCTTCCATCCTATAATTTCTTCCCAGTTTGACTTGGATCTGAGATTAATAAAGTGCGAATAAAGGAGAAATATAATGTATGATTGAGTTAAGTAAGGAAAAGGTAAATGAATTTCAAACACGTAAACTTTTCAAAAAAGGAAGAAATTTATGGAAGTATTAACGTTGTTTGCAAAAAAAAAAAAAAAAAAAAAAGAATTTCACCTTTTGGGCTTTTGGCTTTAAAAAGTTGCAAAAGTGTTTTCAAGTGTAGGTGCGGACAGCCCACAAATACACATGTAGGTGCCTTCGACCTCCTTGGCCGAGGGCTCCAAATTCCACAAAACAGCTTCATTTGAGCATACGAAGCTACTGGGAGAAAACGGCAGAAATCAGGAGCCTTCGGCTCATAGGCGCCCTCGGCATGAGGATAGCCTTCGGCTACACCGAGCCTTCGGCTAAACAGAGCCTTCAGCCACAGGGGAGCCTTCGGCAACAGCGTAAACATCGAAGATTTCCTTTGGGGACAGACAACCACCGCATTTAATGCGGCGTCACATCCACCCACCGCATTTAATGTGGTGCACATGCATATGTCGGTGCCACCCCGATTGAGGTGACCCTTCGGCCGTCAGATTGTTGACACGTGTACTCTCATCGCATTTATGACTGCTATAAATAGCAGCCCTTATTCATCTTGTAAAAGACGCTGAGTTCATTTAATACATTTGACTCTCTCTCTTATTTGTTTGCTCTGACTTCTCTCTAGTTATTCTTCGCAATAACCATCGGATAAGCTACCTCCGGGTACACTATCCATCAAAACTGTTTTTTACTTTTTCTATTATACAATAAACACATATTTTACTAAACACTATTAACTTTTGGTTTTCAAAATAAATTTTTGCTCAAACATTATCAATTTTTCCTGTCAAATACTTTTTCCAAAATCATTTTAAAAAGTGATTTTTTTAAGCAACAACAATTGCAAAAAATTGCTCTTTTTTAAATTCGCATGCTTATTATTCTTATTTCGGCCAGTTTCTAAATTAGCTATGAACACTGACCGTGCCAGTGAGTGTGAAGATGCTGTTGCGTGACAAAATCCATTTTTTTAATGTAGAGATGCTGGATAGCAGCCGGGCTTAAGAAGTATGATATCAGCTTCTTCATCTGCTTCGCTTCCTCACCGTTACTGGTTGACAGGCATACTCCGAACAGCTTCTGTATGGCGACCGGCCACCACGACGCCACCAGCTTGCTCCCGTTGCTGAACAGGAATTTGTTCCCGGCCTGGCCGCTCAGCACAACCACCGCCTCGCCCATCAAGCTAGTCTTGAATACCCTCGACTTGTATTTGCTCACTCTGTCCGCCACGAATTTCTCCGGCCTCCCTTCCCGGCTTAAGCGGACGAACTCCACCGATTCGCCGATCACCGGCCATCCGAGGCTGCCCGGAGGAAGATTCCAGGATCTTTTCTTCTTGCTGGGGATAAAACGGGCGGTGGATAGGATGAGAATAGAGGCCAAGACTATTAGAACCCCTATCAAGGTTGGATCCATAAGTGTACGACCGCTTCTAAGAATTTCATCCCAACATGGAGGAAGCATAGCGGAGAAGATATAGAGGCATTCAGGCATGGAGACTGGAGAGTACTACTTCACCTATAAATAGGAAGCTTATTCTGCCACAAACATTTTTTTGTCCATGCGAAAACCAGTTCTCTTCACAAAATGTCAATCAAATTGAACAATTTTTATCATTCTTTTGTGTGTGCAAAAACAAGTTCTCTTCCCAAAACGCTGATCACATTGTCTGTACACAGACAATTTGACAGGCGTGTAAAATGACGTGTACACTTTTCCAAGTACAAATAGCATTTTCGTTAAAAGAAAGACACTTTTTCATGAAACACTAGTTTGATGATTGGATGAAAAGCCCTTCTCACACTAACACTTCTCCTTCTTTAATTGTAAAAATAAATATGAACAATTACAAATGAACAATGCCTAATAGCTAATGACGCAAAGATGTAAACTCGATTGCATATATGTCGGTTTTATGGGGACCAACACCACACTTTGATGTATGAGACGTACTTGATTGGGGATTAACGGTGGACCTGTTGGCACCACGATGTAGTGCAGCCCCTCATGTTCATCCACCGCTCAGTAGGGGTGGATGAACTATATAGTAATGTGCCAAATGAAGAGTGTAAATCTCCTTACAACAATTTTGTTTTAAGGGCATGATTGTTTGGATAGAATCTTTAGTTTTCATGTGAGCATTATTGTTGTCCACATCTATTCGTATTACCTCGCCTCATTCAACTTGCAGCCTGTTTGCTCATTTGGAAACACTAGAATTGGATGAATGGATTGAATTGAATAAGTTCCGTTTAAAGCGATTGAATTGAATGATTTTTTTTTGTACCCGGTAGGCAAACAACCAAAATCAGTGGGACAAATCCCGGGAAACATTTGTCGGGTATTATTAAAAATAAGAAGAAATTACATAAAGAGGGAGACTATACCAATACCTCTTCCAAAAATTAAATAAACTTTCTAAAAGAAGGAAAATTAAAGAAATCAAGAGTAATAGCTATTTTGACCGGCCCTGGTAATAAGTACAGATCAGTTCATGACATAAATTAGGCCAACGACACTCCAACAAGTAAATGCGCAGGTTCATTCCCTAATCCCTTCACGCTTAACATGTCGGAAGCCAATTATTAATAGAATATATTTTTAAGAGAAAAGTACAGAAGAAACGTACATTTGATTTGGGTCATTTTCAGATAAGGGCATGTGTTTCATTTTCTAACAAAGTGGGGCATGTGTTTCATTTTCTAACAAAGTGAGGCATGTGTGATGGAGTATATGGGTCTAGGTCCCAGGACCCACATACTCAGAAGAACAGAAAATGCAAGCTACCAAGCGGTGCCCTCGTCGGCCAGAGAACTCCCGTCAGCCGAAGAGGGACCAACTCAGAAGATAGTCCTGAAGCCAGGGAACTTAGGTGTCCCCGTCGGCCGTGCCCTCGTCGGACGTGCCCTCATCGGCCATGCCCTCGTCGGCCACGAAAGCCTCACAGAACTAGATTTTACACTTAATCATTTCTACACACATTGTATTCGGCCCAATAGCGGTCCAGTTGTAAATGGGCCTCCCAAGCCCAAGGCTTGGGAGCCCAGCCCGTATTTTTCCTATAAATACTTCCTCTAGAGGTAGTTGTAGGGGTTACAAAATCATTCTATTGAAGCATTTATTTGCACTTCTCTCTCTAGCTCTCATTTCTCTCTAGATATATACTCTATCATTTGGTGCTTTCATTGAGAGCTAGAACAATCAAGTTAGCACCCTTCGTTGCTACCAAGCACAGCTAACCACTGATCATGGGAAGAACCAAGTCAAACCGCAACCTCGTCAGCAAGGCCATCCCTGAGGATCAGGAGACCAGGGAGCGTGAGGAGGACGCCACGGCCGACCAGGTCGGAGGAGGGGACGTCTTCCAGGAGGCCATCAACCTCACAACGGACCTGCACAACCAGCTCAACGGCGGCGGCCCTGATGCCCGCATCGGCCTGGACAAGAAGCGCGCAGAGAAGACAGACCACGCCCCGGCCCAGCCTATGGCCGCGGCTTCTCCGTCTGTGGATCCACAGGTTCAGGCCGCGTTGTCGGTCATCATCGCCAGCTTGGCTCAGAACTCCACCGTCCTCAGCGCACTCTTGCCAAGGACTGGGGGGAACGTCACTCCACCTCCTCAGCCCCAACCGTTGGCCACCAGGTTAGGCAACGATGAGGGGGTGATAGCCCAGGACACAGCGTCGTCCCACTCCCACCCTGCTTCCCCTCTTCGGCCTGGACAGACCCCAGCGCTTGGAAAAGCCTCTGCCTTCAACAGGCTGGGTGACACGAGCCGTCATCCGGTTTCGGAGAGGATGGCGGGACGGATTGGTGAGCGTCGGCCTGGCTTGCCAAGGGAAAGCTTGGGGTCTGTGTCCCGGACAGCGGACCAGCCCCACCTAAACAAAGGCAAAGGAAATCTGCACGAAGACGACGTGCGCCACCAGATCAACGCGGCCCACGAGGTGCGCATGCAGAACCAGCAGGGCGCCACTGCGGCTGCCAGGGACCCTCGGGACGAGGTTATCGCCCAGTTAGAGAGGAGGCTGGCCCAGATGGAGGCCATACAATCGGCGAACATTCCCATGGTCGGCGCCTCCAACGATCCTGGCCTCAATGCTCTCATGAACAAGGTTAGCGCCCTTGAGAGGGAGTTGGCCGAAGGACGAGGTGACCCCGTCATCCAGGTCAGGACCAGGACTCCCTTCACTAACAAGGTGCTCTCGGCTCCCATCCCGGATAAGTACAGGGGAAACGCCATCAAGTCCTACGACGGCCGATCAGACCCCCAGGAGCACTTTAGCCGCTACCAGAACAACATGCTGATGGTGAACGCGTCGGATGAATATCTCTGTCGTTGGTTCCTCTCCACTCTTGAGGGGCCGGTGTACGAGTGGTTCAACGTGCTTCCCGAGGGAAGTATATGGCAGGACCTTGCCCAGCGCTTCCTCACCCACTTTGCCGGGAGGAAGCGTGCGAAGAAGTATTTCACCCATCTCCTCTCCGTCAAGCAGCAACATGACGAACCTCTTCGGTCATTCATTGATCAGTGGACGAGGGAGACCGAAGAGGTCGAGGGGGCCGATGAGCGCACCCTCCTCGTCCTCTACCAGGGAGCCCTCCGCAGCTCCCCGTATGCCAGGAGCCTCATCACCGACCCTCTAAGGTCATATGCAAAGGCGCTTCAGCGCGGGAGCTTGTACGCTGATGCCAATGAGCTCCACAACCACAAAAAAGACGGAGGCCACCCCTCCAAGAAGACAAATCCTTCGCCGGTCCCGGGAGCATCCTCGGCCGGCCAGGGTGCCCAGGGTCGTCACGGCTCTGGTGGACAAAGCAAGAAGGACCGCCATTGGCGGCCGAGGTTGGAACGGCCGGGGGTCCCCCTCACACACCCGGTAAGCACCATCCTCGACTATGCCGAGAAGCATGGCCTCATTGAACAAGCTCCTCGGCCGACGGAGGAAGTCCTTGCCATCCAGCAAGGCGGCACCTACTGCCGGTTCCACAAGAACTCCTCACACAACACTGACGACTGCATCACGCTGAAGAAAGTCATCGAGCGCCTTATTCGTCAGGGGGAACTCTCCCAATTTGTTAAAGGTGGCCCGTGCAAAAATACGTGGGTGAACACCGGCAAACCTGGGGGCGAACCCTCCATGAAGAAGCGGGAGATCGGTAGGCTCAGCGACGACGAAGATTTTGAGGAGCCTCTACCAAAGAAGAACCATATTCACCTCATCGTAGGTGGGAATACCGGGGGGGGGACTCCGTCACCCAGAGGAAGAAATGGGCCCAATCCCTTTACATTGGGGAGGTGTCCCACGTCCCCCCCAGCCTAAGAAGCAACGAACGGAGGCGATCACCTTCACCGACAAGGATCTGCCTCCGGGTATGGAGTCACACAGGGACGCCCTCGTCATCCGGTGTGAGATCGGTGACTCCATCAACCACTGCACTTACATCAATACGGGGAGCTCCGTCAACGTGATGTACCTAGACACATTCAAGCAGCTGAAGCTGGACAAAGCTCTGCTGAAGCCGATCAAGACACCGTTGTCCGGCTTCACCGGGGACTCTATCGACGCCGAAGGCACGATAGTCCTCCCTGTGGAGGTCGGCGACGGCTCCTGTTGGTCCCAGTTATACTGGATACAGTCTAGAGGGGGGGTGAATAGACTGTATTGGTTTTTAGCTTTTTAAGCTAAGTACCAGATTTACAGAATAGCCTGTTCTGTTGAAAGAACAGACTGGCAGCGGATGGGGTTCTGGTAGGGAGTTCTGTTAGCCTCAGAGAAGCAATAGGCAGTAGGCCTTTTGTTAACTCGTAGAACAAGTTCTGCTGAACACAGATACCAAGTCCAAGGAGTTATACAGTTCTAACTAAGTGCAAGTATTAAAAGCAGTAAGTAAACGACACCAGGGATTTTTATAGTGGTTCAAGGAACAACTCGTTCCTCTAATCCACTGTTCCACTAAGCTGTAAAAACTGCCGTTTACAAAGCCTTAGTCCTAGTACTTAAGAAGCACTCCACGTCTTCTTCAAGCCTAGATGTGTCCTGGGATGCACTGCCTGGCTTCCTTTAACACTGGTCCTTTCACTGAGTTTCCTTGAAGTATCACCACTTCACTACTCCAGTTATTTGGACGTCCTTCTTGTAGCAAGAAGAGTTTCTGTTGAAACAGGGGTTCCTCCAACTAGCTTCGTTACAAAAGATTTGTATGTGATGAGCTTGAAGAGTTGAAGAACACTTGGAACTTTGCTTGAGTTGGAAAGAGTATTTTTCCAACTTCTGCCTTCTCTTGTAGAAGATAATGAGTTTGAATCTCAAGGAGGCTTTTTGCTTTTCAGAGTTTGAATATCTTGCTTGTGGTTAGCAAAAGTTGCAATGTAATCTTGGCAAAGTTATAGCAAAGTTATCCGGTTGTTCTTCGTAGTGTATCTTTTATACTGAGGTTGTCTTCCCGTTGGATGAGTAGGAGGACAACTGCATTTAATGCGCGATCAGTTGACTTGACTAGTAGAGCCCGATAAAGTTGGCGGGTTACTATTTTGGGATAAAGTATTCCTGACA